TCCAGAAGCATACAACCATGACAGAAGATTAAGAATTGAAAAAAAAATTACATTACAGAGAGCGAAATGAAACCACACCTGCTATATGTATGAAGAAACAAGGTTTGTTTTGCCTTTGGTAGCTGATCACTAGAAAAGCTCCATGCAGATCGTTTGTTCCTATACTGGATGAAGTCTGCTCTTATTAACAGCACATTGATTTGGCGGGTTATAAAACAAGCTGCTTTGGTTTACCAAAAAAAAAATTATAGAAAAATAGAAACAAAAACAAAAAAGGAACAAGTTGCATTTGAAGTCAGGTCAACTCACAGCTTCCTTGCTTCTAATCTTGATGAACTGCTTTGGTCAGTTTATTATTGCAAGTATATATGGTTCACGCTATGATTCTTTGGATAGAATATTGAACATATGGATGTATTAAAAGAAGTAAAACTGTAGGAATGATAGCTCAAATCTATCTACCTACCTTTTATTTGTAGCATGTACATGACAATTGGATTAATTAATGTAGGAAATAATAAGGTTGTGTCTTATTGGCTTGCCAGTCACCATGATAAACATGAGATGGTGTAGATGTCGAAGAAAGTCAGTGCAGGAAATTGCTTCTCTAAATTTATTAAAGTAGATGTCTACGTTAAATTGTCGTATGGACATAAAATGATAAGATCGAACCACAAAGTCGTTCTAATCAAATAGTCAAATCCTACCTGAATTTGAAGTCAAAATTACAGAAGAGGGAAGTGAAACCGCACCTGCCGTATGCATGGCAAAACCAAGTTTGTTTGGGCTTTGATAGCTGATCACCAGAAAAGCTCAGAGCAGATGGTTTGCTCCTCTGGTAAGATCTTACTAGCTAATAGCACACTGATTGGCGGGTTATGACACGTTGCTTTAGAGTCAGGTCAGCGTCAGTTTAAACTATAATCCATTACGTTGTTCTAAACATAAAAATAATCCATTATAGTCCTTAGGTTTTGAACTTTCCCACAATAATTAATAGCACAATGATGACCTACCATTACGTTGATCTAAACAAAAAATAATCCATTACGTTAGCTCATCATTGTGTTTTGATAATAACACGTATATATACGGTATTATCAAAACACAATGATGAGTTAATGAAAGAACGAGTTGCTTTATTTATAAAAGAAAAATAGACAAGTTGCTTTAGAAGTTGGAAAATAGACAAGTTGATTAAGCAACAGAGATTATAGAGCACACTGCTTGTATGAGAGTAAGTACGAGGAGAACAACAGCAGCAACGAGAGAGATAGTTGCCCACGGCGTGTGGAAATAATTTTGTCTCAAATTTGCCATCCTGTTGTGCCACGTCGAACTGCAGTACTTGTTCAGATCTTCACAAAGAGCAGCAAAATAGAAGTCATTGGCTTCGATGGTGACCCCTTCCGCAAGGTTGTTAATCATAGTAGACACCTCATTGCTGTCACCAAGCCAATTTTCAACAATCCCATACTTAACAAGCAACTCTACATCCTTTGGGGTGTTCACAAAACGATCCATGATGACAACATAATCATTTATGAAATTCTCCATGCAATGACATTGTTCAAAAGCAACCAGATTCCTTATTGTAACATTGTTCAAAAGCAACCAGATTCCTTATTGTAAGCTCTGTCTCACCACTTATTGTGAACTTTGGAATTTCCAAAGTCCCGTCAGCGAATCGTATGTCAAATAAGTTTGGCGTTGAACCCACCTTAAACTTAACCCCAGCCCCGTGTAGCTCTGTAATGCTGGGTGTGTTTAGAGTTTCAAGCTTCCCTGCAGCTTGTAATTCGAATGAAAACGGTAGATACAGATTTCTACAAAGATCAACAAAATGTTCTACTTTTGAAGAACATATTCTCTGCAAACTACCTTCTGCTTCCTCTATTAGCATTCGAGTTTTGAACCAGTCATGAGAAAGAGTAATTACTGAAAGCCTCATAGTATGGTTACTGTTGGAAGATACTTGAGTTTCGTGTAGGTTGAAAAGATTCAAGCAACCGCAAGTCAGGCCATACATCCTGTAGGATCCATGGTTTGTTAAAAAGGCGGTCGTTCTCATTCCAAAATTCAGGGAAGTAGCTCTTCAATAAGTCCTCAATGACGAAAGTGGCATCCACTAGAATGATTCTTACAAATTCATCAACACTAAACTCAATGGTTTCTGCATAAGAACTGCGCACTCTTGCTTCTTGGTCCCTTATTCTCTTTACAACATCCTCCATGCTTACGTTGGTGCGACACAGAAAATCTTGTAGGTACCTCTTTTTATGCTCTTCCATGGCTTTTAAGGACTTCTTGCCATGGTGAAATGGGCCTATAGAGACTACCTGAGGTGTGTAGGCATTTTCGTTTACATGTCGTAGTCGCTTAGGAACTCTGTAAATACAGCACAAAGAGGACAGAGGAGACAACCCATGCAGTTCCTCTTTCAATGAAGTTGCCAAAGGCGTGAGAGGGTTCTGTCATGTAGAGCAGATTGATTGCTTCCTTTCGTCTTCCTCTTCATGTGTTGGTATAGTTACAGATTACTGCACCACAATGAACAAATCCTTTAATATCAACATTCCAATATGCTTTTACCAAAACTTGAAAAATCATCACAAAGGGCAAAATCAAACAATAAATGGTTCACAAATAAATTCAAACACTGATTTTCTAGTATTTTGTCTTAACTTTTGGATAAAATGAACAAAAAGTTTCTGGCTTTTGTGGCTATTATTTACTGTAGTGATGTCTTCGACATTTTCCCTTTGGTTGAATTTCCGAAAGTGGGAAAAGCAAACAAAATGAAACAGGTGGATCCACAAATTTTTTAGGGGAGGTGCAATATTTAAAAGGATAAAAATTCACAAAGGACTCAAACAAGGTTTCAAGTCCTAACATCTGCGTAGTGTGTTAAAAAAAGAATAAAAATTCAAAAAATAATTTAGACAACCAAATGCCCTTAGAATTTAAACAATACTAATGTCATTCATAATTAAAACAAATAAGAGTTTTATGTCTATAACTAATTGATTATAGTCTATATGGAATATCAATTAATATGAACAAAATCCAGGTGAGTGACACAATTAGTTTACCAAAATTCATATCAAATATGAACAAAATCCATGTCAATTACATAATTAATCTAACAAAGTCAATAGAAATTAATCTAACCAAAATTAATACCAATTAATCTAACCAAAAGCATATGTGATTTGGAAGTCATGAGATAGAAGTACACATGATTAAAAGTTCGGGGTAATTTTCGGTGAATTTTTGGGCACACATGAGGTTTTAATGAATTTTTTAAGTTAAGCCAATTAGAAATTGACATGTGTCAATTTAAAAAATAAAAACAAGAAGCTCTGGATTGACGCCGAGTCTTTCTTCTTCCTCGAACTGCCTCTGCAACTTAACTTCAATTCTAAAAAAAAATCGAAAATTCGTAACTTTGGTTGTGTAGCTGCGATTGATGAACCGTTTTCTCCTACATGCTCGTGAGATCGAGCCCAACAATCTAAGGTAAATATTCAGGGTCTCACACAGCAGGAAACAAAAAAAGGTCTTTGAGTCATTTAGCCGAACAATTGGTGGGGACTAGCAAAGGGGCAAATCTGGCATCTACAATGAAGTTTCCGGTGAGGAAGTTGTATGAACTACTGATACCCGAGGGCAGAGAGTGAAGCTCAACATGGTCCGCACACAGTTATTTGAGTTCTAGGCCTAGCTATGTTATTGCAGCTTTAATAAAATCAAATTCTTAAACAATGATAGGCTGCAGATAGTATTTGTTATCCTCCTTTCCAGATCTCATGCTTCCAGTCAAAACAAAGAGACACACCAACATTCCATTGAAAGAAAGAAGAACAATTAGAAAACTCCCATAACCTTTTGCTTAATTCCAATTTTCAACTACCATGAAATATAAGAAACTAAAAGCTTCAAGAAAATGAACACATTAGAGCCAATTAACATAGCAATGGAGAAGGATCCAATAACCTAGACAAAAGACTATGAATTGACAAACAAAAACAAAACGAAACGATTGCATTCGCACCTGCTATGCAGAAAAACCGAGTTGGATTTGCCTTTGGTGGATGACTAGAAAAGCTCAATACAATTTACTTGCTAGGAAAATATAGATTTTCTCTAAATAATAGCACAATGAATACTATAGACTATAGAGGTTAAGCTAACTAAGCCTTAATCAATGATGGGTTATGCGACAGCTTCAGATTGAACCTTATCTTTTTCCCTGGCTTCCTAGGGCTATTGAAAATCATGTTTGATAGAGAGGATCAGATTGAACTAGTAAAATAACTAGAAGACAACATTCATACTATTCCTTGATTGCACATGAAATCTAAGCATTTTACTGGTCGAACTTAGTCCAATCTAATCCTCCCTATCAAACATAGAGGTAACGCAGCTACCATTTTCCTGTTCTTCTTTTTAAACTTTCTTACCACAATAGGAAGGTGTATAAAGGGGCGTATGTTAAATATACACCATTTGTCACTGGAATCATCTTCAATGGAAAGATGTAAATGATTGTAAAATACACATCCACCATTGAGATGTAAAATTAGATGCACATTTGCATCTTTGGTTACATCCTTTGTAGACGGGACCCACAAGAGAAAAAGGGAAAGAAAAGGATTGGAATTCAAAATGGAAAACCTCGAATTCATGCAATTTGCATTGCACTTCCAATAGCCCATATTTCTACATAGATATTTTTATGTTAATTTGTAGGTAAAATCATATGTTCTTCAAATTTAAATTTTTTTAAGTCCATTTATTTGGAAAAATAAAATAAATCTAACACGCACAAAATTAATTTATAGTCGAGCTCACTGCCCATAGCTGTGTCATTCCCTCTGTTTTGAAAGCAACTAGATAAAGCATTAAGAGGAAGTATAGGCAGCGCTATATTCATCCTCTTTCTCAACCCTTTATTTACCTAACTTTCTAAATCCATGTGCTGCGATTTATAAGAGAAATTTCGGACAAACAAAAATGACAATAATATTTTTCAGAAAGAATAAAATAAAATCTTGGCAGGAAGCCGTACAATTTGAACCCATTCACAGTGAAAAGTTGATAAAAAATTTGATGGATTACATATTTCAACTCATTTGAGCTTAGATTTTGAAGACCTCTGAAGAGGCTTTGCAATGGGCCTAGCAGGTGCACTTCTAACAACCTTCTTCACATCATACTTTACAGATGAGAAGGCAGCGATTACGGCAATGAGCATAGTTGGGTAGACAAACACAGCTTTCGTAGGATCTGTGTTCACAGGCTTTCCGAGGATCCCTTCTTTGATGAGGCCCCAAAGCATTAGAAGTGTCCCAAACATGCTCATCCTCCCTCGTTTTAGAAGACCCACAAGGGCTCCAGCCACAGCAAAGTAGCTTCCCGCTAGAACCTGATGAATTAATCAAAGAAACAGAGATGAGATTACTGCTTCATATTGTCAGAAGTGAAAGCCTAATGGCTTGCCTCCTCAAGATAAAATTGAAAATCCTTTAAAACAACAGAAAAGGGAAAGTGTCTGTTGAGAAATGGAACCTCTAAGCGCTGGAGGTCAGTAACTGCAGGGGATTCCTTTGCATTGGTCAAGTTATAGATGTCTAATACGTTATTCCAGCTTGGAACAGTCATGTTCCTTACAAGTCCATTTGCAACAGCTCCAGGGAAGAGAAGGGCTTTTACCACAGGAATAGGAAAGATTTCACTTGCAATCAATTGAGAAGAAGTGACATGCAATGGTGTGGTACACATGCCAGATCTGCATGGAACTCTGTAACAATGAAGAAACATTAAGCCAAAAACAGAGTTTTACATTTACCTTTTTCTTAATACATATTTCCACAAAACACAGCCATTAAATAACAACAAATATTTCCATCTGATCAAGACATGCCAGAGGAAGAAATGGAGCAGCATCACATGTACATAGATCCAGATAAAGCATATACAAATTATGAGCTTGTATCATACAAGAAATCCAAAAAGAATACATATTCCTTAAGTAATACAAATAAAATGCATCAGGCTTCTATTATATAGACTGATAAACACCTAAAACGCCAGCATAGGGCAGAATGATCATTCCCTACATATGGTACATAGCAATCCTTTACATTTACATGTCTTTGGTTTGAAAGTTGGATCCCGCTTGAATCCATAAACATGGATACTTTACATAAATGCAATTCTAGCGTCTTCTGTAAATATCTTCTCTAAGATACTTACAGAAAATATACACTTTCTCTAATTTTATAGCCTTTCCTTCACGTTAGAAGTATGTTCCAAAACACAACCAACCAACCATAAGGCCATTGCCACTACCGAGCTTAGCTCAGTTCATTAACTGCCCTGAATTGCTGATCCGTATTCTGAGGGGTCTTGGGTCCTTGTGAGAGTATAACAAGTGAACCAAGTACCCTAATTCAACTGTTAACTAAAAACATTGGGCAGCACAACTTCAGGATTGCAAAATCAAATCAACCGATCTAAAACAAACAAGAGATTCTTCCTTTTTTTCTTTTTTTCTTTTTTTCTTTTTTTCAAAACCAGGTTTAACAATGTGACACTAAGAACTTCAAAATGCACATCCAGATTCGATAAACCACGAAACTACAAATACCCAGATGCTAAAACATGAAAATTAGCAAAAACAAAGCATGCCCGGATAGCCTAACAATTTGAGTAACTAGGAATTAGATGAAAAGAGAAATTAAAATAAGCAGATTTGGGCACAGAGAGGGAGCGAGTGTGGAAATTGATCGAGTGAATTACAGTACCTGAAAAGCGGGATCTGGAGAATGATTAGGAAGAAGTAGACGCGAGCGGCTATTGAAGAGATATTGCTTATCCATCCCTTTGACGATTTTGACGATGGTGCTGATGATGATGGCGGAGTTGCCATGATTGGCTTCAACTTCAGACACAGAGAGACGAGACTTTACTAAACTAGAGTATAGTATGATTTTCTTCTGTGGCGGAGCTACTTGTGGACGCATCAAACGACATCGTTTCGTTCCTTCACGCAATGTCGTCTGCCTGCAAAAAGCGGTTGTGGGCTTTGAATTGTGACGGGTTAGGCCCAGGGCAAAAATAACAGTTGAAGCTTACCATTAAAACGGCGCTAAGAGCGGTCGTTAAAGGCGCGCAGACTAAGAGTAGTAGATAAACCTGAACCGATAGGCAGAAAGGCGGCGCCTTTTCGTGATTTTTTCTCATCGGCGTTTGGGCGGAAGAGGTGCAGTCCGGTGACCTTTAAAACGGCACCGTTTGGGAACAGAGGCATTTCTATCTCATCTTCCTCACATTGAGAGCAAAATGGCTTTTGCTTCTGCGCTTAACACTCCCAAGGGGCTTCACTGTTTAACGTTGCCGTCTTCCCGCAACGAACGGCCACCCACCAGTCTGATACTGCCACGTCAATTTCCGGCTCGGTTCTTGTCGACACTGGCCTTGGCCCGCCGTCGAAACCAACGCACTGAAGTGGCGTCGTCTAAGCCGAAGATAAATAAGGTAAGAAATGAGCTTTTTTTAGAAGTGCTTTCTCTGTTTGCAGAAACTGAAATTTCTGGTTTTGAATTCGTGGTCGAATGTAGAAAATCTTGGCGAAAAAGGAAGTTAAGGATGAGGAGGATGAGGATGTGGATGAGGATGCTATAGATGCACTGTTTAGGCTGCTGGAGGAAGACCTTAAAAACGACGACGCATCGTTAGACGACGAAGATTTAACAGAAGAAGAGCTTGCTAAGCTCGAACAAGAAGTAGCAGAGGCACTGGGGATTGTTGATGATGAGGAGGACGAGGATGAGGACGAGGAAGCTGATGATGATGATGACGAGGCCGATGAGGATGATGATGATGACGTTGTTATTGAGATCGATGCTCAAGAAGAAGAAGTAGATGATGATGATGATGATGATGAAGAGGAGGAGGAGGAAAAGGAAAGTCCTGTGAAGCTTAAGACTTGGCAACTTCGGAGATTGGCTGCTGCTTTAAAAGTTGGTCGCCGCAAAACCAGCGTAAGGGTTTCTTTCTCTCTTTAGTTTTTGGGGTTTTTTTATGAATCTTTGAACAGCTGGGTTCTTGTTCATGAAATTTGAAGCATCTACTGCCTGAAATACTATATCAAATTTCAAGTCCAGTCAAGCTTGATATCTTGCTTGGTAGTAATTTTTTTGTTTGGAAATATGTGTATATATATATATATATATATATATTTAAGTTCAAAGGAGGCCTGGGGCCTTTGGAGATTATAGAATGAATAAAGAATGGATAGGAAAACCAAAACCCTGTTTTTTAATGTAAACTTTGGTTCATATTCATGAAAATTTGCTTCTCGGTATTTGGGGTTTTTAGTTATGTTGGCAAACTTTATATTGTTGGCATTTCGTTTGTTTGCAGATAAAAATTCTTGCAGCTGAGCTTTGTCTCGACAGGCCGGTTGTTCTCGAATTGCTTCGCAACCCCCCTCCAAGTCTTTTGATGATGTGTGCTGCTTTACCTGATGAACCAGCTCCAACAATATCTGTGTCCCAAACGATGCCTGTAGAAACTGTTGTGGAAACAACTGTAGAAACTGTGGTGGAAACAACTACTGAGACCTCGGAGGTTGAAACTACAGTGAACAGACCTATTCATGTTATGCAACAAAAGTTTTCCGCTCAAAAAAGACTGAAGAAAGCGCATGTTGAAACCCTTGAAAGTGTTTATAGAAAAACAAAGCGGCCCACTGTAAGTGAATCTTTTGTGTTGAATGATTTCGGGATATTGCGATATAATGTACTTTCATTTGAAACTTGACCTAAAAGAACTTGTGCGCCATTTCCTTATGCTTTGTGTGCGTTGATATGTGATGCAGAATGCAATGATCAGCAGCATAGTGCATGTGACAAACCTGCCCCGCAAAAGAGTTGTGAAATGGTTTGAAGACAAACGTTCTGAGGATGGTGTTACTGACTCTCGACTTCCATATCGACGGCCTGCCCCTAATACTGCCTAGTAAACCAATGTGTAAAACAGGTACTTCTATGTTGTTTATAATGAGAGCTGATAGATTTTTTAAGCTCTATCTCCTTTCATTTTCATTGTACTTAACAGAAAGTGAAAATAGAACATGGCAGTAAAACAAGATGGGTGAAGACGCTGTTGGCTTAGGGCTAGCTCAGGTGATGAAGGGGCGGGAAAAGGATTAGGATACGTTATGGATTCAATCCAATCCGATTTACCTCAAAAAAGAAAAATATGAAATGAATGAGCTCTTGCCTTAGTTGAATATGATCTTCAGTTTCAGCAATCCCATATAATAAATAATAGAACTTTGACCTCTATCATCTTCTTTAGCCTAGGGATAGGTATGAGAGGAAAGAATAAAACTTTGATCTTTATCCTAAAAGACAGCAAGAGAATTTTAAATGAATTATATAGTAACTAATGAAAGATCTTTGACATCTATCATCCTCTTTTCCCCCAGGGAGAGGTACAGAACAAGGGAGAGGACTTTGATTTGTACTGAAAGACAGAAACTTAGAAAACGTGTTATTCATTTAGATGCCATCCCCTGACCTCTTTCTCGTTCTTCTCCCTTTGGCATTTTCCCTCTTCCTGGTATGTATATAATCAACCTAATCACCCAGATTAGAATTATCACAATTTCTGCCCAAAGCCAGCTATCATCACAACTGGTTGAGACTCGAGAGACCTCATGGCGACGTTAGCAAGGTCGGCATCCACATTTAGGCGGCAAGGCTCGTCGGGCTTAATATGGGACGATAACTTGATGCTGCAAAGAAAGGAAGGAAGGGCAGAGTTTAGAGAGCTAAGGCCATGCCAGAGTGCCAAACCCATTGGCCTCAAGGCTTATAGCAGCTCAAATGGAGCACTCGCGATTTGCCCTCGCAGCTCTTCTACCTCAGCCAAGAAGAACCCACATTCTCTCAAATCCAAATTCTTGAAAATGTTTCGTGCTCTTTTTCGAAAATAAACCACTGCCCGGGAATCCAACGCATGAAACGACATGGCATGATTTAATGTCTTCTAAGCACATAAGTATATGGTATTATAGTATTTCAACATTTCATCGATGAAATTCTTGTAGCTTGGAACATTGCGTTCCAACAAAACACTTTCTTGTAATTGTTTTATTATTACATAAGTAATTACGATCTTGGCATTTCATAGCAAACCAAACATGCCGACAAAATGGTATCATTCTCCTGTCAATTTTTGTTCTGAAAGGTATGGTAGGTTGGGAAGCCCATCTCCATTTTCTCAAGATTTCGAAGAAACAGACAAAGTTGTCAAAGAAAAAGGTCGAAAGCCCCATCTTCATCTATATACGGATGATGAATGAGACCATTCGTTGAAGTCACCAAGGATTATTTTCAAAGGATTGGCAAAGTTTGTTGGGGCCACCACAAATTTTCAGCCTAGCTGCAAGTTTATAGCATCCATTGGCAATATAAAACTTAGGCTAAGTTAATTATCAATTAATCCTTTTTCATTTTTCGTCCTGTAAATGTTAAGTATGGTCCAACATTACATCTAGACCCTTAAAACGAAGTTTACATTTGTGTATAATTAGTGAACAAAATAGAAGGCAACTTTGGGACCTAACATCTGAAGTTGATACTTTGTACGGGGATATGTGGGGATTTCTATGTCTTTTTATGCGATGGTGGATTTAGGTTCCCGAATTAAAACGACAACTCATGGTACCGACATCCCAATCTGGCGGAGCTGTCCAATTTCCTAACTGAAGTTGGGTCGTCTTTGAGCCATTGGCCTTCACAAATTGAAATATCTTGCTCATGAATCATGATTCATACATACTTGACAGGGATAATGATCCATTCAACTAAAAAGAAGCAAAACAATTAAAAACAATTGAAGGGTATTGGCTATCAAGGTTAGCTAAAGTGTAAGGTGTTTGCAGTGGTTAAGAGCAACTATCCATGCACTTGATTCGAAGTTTTATGTTCGAATTCTTCCCCCAATATCGTTTGTATAAAAAATAAAAAGTTCACTAAAGTAACATATGTTGGAAAATACTCCAAGTTTAAAATTGCCCAAATGTTAAAAATTGATAATTTTTTTTGTTAGATATATAATGAATTATTAGTAATAGTGGTGATATTTCTCTTTTTAATGTTGGAAGGTGTCCGAAGTTACGGTGATTTTAAGAAGTTAATCACATTAACTTGAAGCTTATTATAAGGTCAATAAATTTGCATGTGTTTGTGACCAAAGAAAAAAGTTATCACCTATGGCAAAGAAATCACTTGCGCTCACGCATACCTCAAATCAAATGAGATATTCAAACTTCCATGGTAAACTAAACTCATTGCTTTCCCAAAATCAAGAAACACATGCACTTCCAGCACAAAATGTGGTCCCACTGTCCTAGTTCGTTGCATCTCCCTCCCCAATCTCCATGCCATCCGTCCGATCTGAATCTCATCCAACGCTTCCCATGTCTCCACGATCCCTTCCTACAAACCTTTGATTCAGGCCACGCCTCATGGCTCATATCTCTCCACGCTCACCCTCGCAGAGCCCTCAGATGTGAACGAGCTTCAACGGCTCCAAATCCACTCTGAAACTCCACCTCTCTGCTATTTACTCACTCAAACATTGACGTCCCGCTCTTTTAATTTTCTTCCAGCTGAAAACCACAAAAAACAATTCCTCTCTGCTTGATTTGTTTAGAGACCAAATGCAAGAGCAAGCGACGAGCTCCCTTGCCGCGAGCTCTCTCCCGTCGAGCAGCGAAAGGTCTTCGAGCTCTGCATTCCAAGTTGAAGTCAAAGAAGGTTTGATTTTCTCAACTCATTTTTAGTTTTTCAAAGTTTATGCTTAACAAGTCTAACTGAGTTTGTTCAAATTTGTCTACTTTCTTTCTGGTTCCAAAGAATTTCGAAATTTCCCATCTGGGTTTTGTAGTATCCTGAATTTTCGGAGCCGGGTCTTTGTTAATTTCCCGGGAAATACTTTCTGCGGATGAAAAACCTTCCCTTTTACATTGCTTCAAGTAAAAAGAAGGAAGTTTTATTGTTCATGGTTGGCTGTTTATCTTCGTGAACCAATAATTTAGAAATTTCCCAACTCTTCCCTGTTACATTGTTTTATATAAAAAGGAGTCGGCTTTTCTTACAAGGCAAAGACATGATGCATTAAATTTTTGTTAAGGTCCAACAATAATTTTCTTTTTTGGCCTAAATTTAAGGCATGGAAAGTGATGAGGAGATCAGGAGAGTGCCGGAGATTGGGGGCGAATCGGCCGGAGCATCAATCTCCGGCAGGGAAACCGGTTCGTTGGCCGGTCCGGACCGGGCCCAAGTGGTAGGTGAGGGGCAAAGAAAGAGAGGAAGAAGTCCAGCTGACAAGGAAAGCAAGAGGCTGAAGAGGTGAGTTGGGCTGCACCGCGTCCATGGTGATTTTACTGTTCTGCCCTTTTTTGTCGATTGCGTGTGCTCATTGGCATTTTGGTGGAATTGTCTTTTTTGGGTGCAAAACAAAAGGTTGTTAAGAAACAGAGTTTCAGCACAGCAAGCAAGGGAGAGGAAGAAGGCATACTTGAGTGATTTGGAAGTGAGAGTCAAAGACTTGGAGCAGAAAAACTCTGAGCTTGAGGAGAAGCTTTCCACTTTGCAGAATGAGAATCAGATGCTTAGACATGTATGTTCCTTCATCCTCATCAC